GCATGTGGCTTCTGGCTGCATAGTCTAGTATGCCACCAGCTGCACTGCAGAGACTGGGCCTTGGGACAAAAAAATTTAAAATCATGCATAGTTTTTAAATAATATGTATCTTCCATGAACAGTTTGAAGACCTCTTGTACATACCTAAAAGTGAAACTGCTAGGTTAGAAGGTAATTCTAATAATATTATTTTGAGGAACTGCCAAACCATTTCCTAAAGTGACTGCACTGTTTTACAGTACCTCCAATAATGTACGAGGGTTCCAGTTTCTCTGCATCATCACCACCACTTGTTTCTAAACTGGGGGACTTTTAGAGTCAAAGGAAGCACTATTAATAATTATGCCAATTTTGGAGTCCAGCAGGTGGTGTGGTGGTTAAGGTGCTGGGCCCTCACATGGCCGACTATGGTTCAAGTCCTGGACCTGGCAGCTTGCTTTTTTACTTTATCTCTCTTTGTCTCTGTCTCTAATGAGTATGCATGCCTTGTAGCAAAATTAGAAGATACTGCTAAATAAATTTAAATAAATAATTACTTTAAAATAAATAATTATGCCAATGCAACTGCCAATGAACTAGAACATATTCTCATTCTACCAAGATACAAAAAAAAAAAGAGAAGATTTAATGTCTGATTTCAGGGAACTTCCTGGCCACACGATGAGTCAAAGCCCCAAAACCCACATACTTGAGTCAATTAAAGAATCAAGTTAAGGTAAATTATTACAAAAGAATGCAAAGAACATCTTAATTCCCCCAGGAGACTGTATTCTCTTTAAGAGAAAAAGAGTCCCATTTGTCTTTGTATTGTCCATGGCTCTAGGAGACCCTTGGGTTTGATAGAGTCTCAGAAAAGACCCATTGAGGGCCAGCCCCTTGATTTGGTGGTTTAGGAAAGGAAGCAGGATCCCAGCTGCTGACTGCGCAGTTCAAATTCAGCTCCGTGGCTTGCAGAACACCTGGGGTGTGTGTGTGCAAGCCTCAGATCCCTCCAGGACGGGGAGAGGAGAAGGGGTTTTGGTGTCACTGTGCCCCAGCAGGAGTGTTCTCTCTGTGTGTCTCTCTATGTGCACATGTCTTCTGGCAAATTAAAAAATTAATAATGATCTGTGAATAAGTGAATGAAAGGGAGAAAGAATGATACAAATAAATGCTCTCAGAAGAAATGTAAAAAAAAAGTCATCTGGCACAGGATTGCAAGTCTGGGGAAAGTATGGATTTTTTTTTTCTAACACTATTAGTATTATTAGTACTAATGGTTTAAAACTGTTAGTATTTTAAAAAATAGTTTTAGGGGGAACCAGCAGTTAACATAATGGCTATGTCACTGGATTCCCATGTAGTCGACCGTGGTTTGTGTCCTGGATCCGGTGGCTTAGAACTCACGCCGGGCGCGTGTGCGTGCGTGCCCAAGATCCCGAGAGGAGAATGGAGGAGAAGGGATTGCGGCATGACTATCCCCCCTGGGGGGTGATTTCTCACTTTCTGTCTCTCTGTCTCTCTCTGGTTGGCTGGCGAGCGCACACGCCCTATAGTGAAAACCTCTCCAAAAAAAAAAAAAATAGTTTTAGGGACCAGCAGCTGGTGTAATGGCTATGTCACTGGACTGCCATGTAGTTGACTGCGGTTTGAGTCCTGGACCTGGTGACTTAAACTCACGCTGGACACGTGTGCGTGTGTGCCCAAGATCCTGAGAGGAAAATGGAGAAGGGATTGTGGCGTGGCCATCCCCCCTGGGGGGTGATTTCTCGTTTTCTATCTCTCTGTCTCTCTCTGTCTTTCTGGTGAGCGCACGCGCCCTATAGCAAAAACCTCTTCAAAAAAAAAAATTTATTACAGGGTCCAGCATTTGGCATGGTGGTTAAGGCACTGGACTCTCACGTGGCCGATCAGGGTCCTATCCCAAGCCTGGTAGCTTAAATCATGCTGGGTGTGTGTGTGTGCATGCCCACAATCCTTAGAGGAGAATTGAAGGGAAGGGATTGCAGTGTGGCCATCCATCTTCAGGGGTTCATTTCTCACTTTCCCTTTCCCTCTCTCTGATGAGCATAGATGCCCTAGGGCAAAACAAAACAAAACAAAACAAAACAAAACTTTAAAACTGTTTTCGTTGTTCTAATTTCGGTTTTATAGATACATGTTCATGTCCGTGGGGTTCAGTGTGGCATTTCAAAGCATGTGTACAGTACAGCATAGCCCAGTCAGAGCAGAAAGCAGTGCGCCATCTCCAGCACGCATCATGACTTTGTGTTCAAAATCTGCTCCACTGCTTCTTCTGAAATATTAATTCCTCACCGATGTTCTTTCCTGTGCTGATATTCTAGAACCCATTCCACGTGTTTACATGCACCACAAACTCGTATATGTAATTTTTCTTTGCTCCGTGTCATAACAGCAGTATTGACGATTTTAAAATGAAAAAGCGGGGGCCAGCAGGTGGCATGGTGATTAAGGCACTGGACTCCCACATGGCCAACCGCAGTTCGAGTCCCAGCCTTGGCGACCTGCCTTCTCATTCTCTCTCTATCTGATAAGCGCATGTGCCATGTAGCAAACTTAAAAAAAAAAATAATCACAAATAAATTAAATACATCTTAAAAGCAAATAAGAAATAAATAGCCTACCACTGGCAGAATTTTAAACTGAATTTTGTGAGTGCGAATGGCTGACAGCAGATGGAGGAAGGAACAGCCAAGCAGGGGAATTGCTTGGAGTAGGGAGACAGGAGCCCAAACACATGCCTCTATGCAGAGTTCCACTTTTACACGGAGAGCCTACTCCCAGGAGTTGCCAGCCTTTTGGAGAAAATGGGATTTGTCCAAGGAAACAATGAGAATAGTTTTAGAACCACCATTGGCTGGCTCTGGGCCCCTGGGTGTCACTGATCCTTTGGTTCTAAATTCCCTTGAAATTCCAATCCTCCAACCCTGGGAGCTCCCTGGAAGAGGTGGGCCAAAAGCTGGGCCTTGAGGGATGAGGCCGGATATGGAGAAAGGAGCAGGATGCGGGTGGAGGGCGATAAGGCCCTGAGGTGGGCTGGAGTGCTGGGACTGAGATAAATTGGATAAAGCAGCTGGGGCCTCTTAAAGGACAACTTTAAAAGGCAGGCTGGTTGACTTTTAAATTTTGTCCTGATAAGCAGGTCCTTGGACTGGAGATGAAAGGAGTGTCTGTGAGAGATTAATCTGATGGCCTTGGGCCATCGATCCGGATCTATCTGGACACCGTGAGAGTGAGGCTCTCTGGGAGACTTACACTAGTAATGTAAGACTGGCCTTTCTGATGGGAATTTGAAAACCCTTAGCAAAGCCCCTTATGCCAGCTGTGTGGTGTACTTGGCGTCCAAAGAGCTCGTTTTCCCTTAGCTATAAATAATTGAAACCATTATTTTTTTAAAAAAATATTTTATTTAACTTTATTTTATTTATTTAATTTGACCAGAGAGGGACAGAGTGACAGAGAGAGAGAGGAAGAGAGAAAGTAAGCTGCCAGGTCTGGGATTCCAACTGCGGTCACCCATGTGGGAGTCCAACACCCTTAACCACCATGCCACATGCTGGGCCCACCTTTTTATTTTTTTTAAGAATTATTTAATTTTATTTATTTATTT